TGATTTTTGTGTATGGTGAGAGGTAGTGATCTAGTTTCACTTTTTGCATGCAGCTTCCCAGTTTTCCAAGAACCATTTGCTGAACAAACTTTCTTTGTTCCATTGTATCTTCTCTGCTCCTTTGTCAAAAATTAGCTGTCCATAAACTTGTGGGCTTGTATCTGGGTTTTCTATTCGAATCCACTGGTCTGTATGTCTATTCTTGTTCCAGTACCATGCAGTTGTGATTATTACAGCTTTTAGTACAGCTTGAAGTTTGAGATTGTAAGGCCTCCTTTCTGTTTTTTTCTTAGACATGAGGGTTTTGGCTATTCGAGATCTTTTGTTGTTCCATATGAATCGCATCAATATTTTTTTTCTATTTATTTGAAGAATGTCATTTGGATTTCTATTTGGATGGCATTAAATCTGTATATTGCTTTTGGCAGGATGGCCATTTTGATGATGTTAATTCTCCCGATCCATGAGCAGGGGATATCTTTCCATTTCATGGTGTCTTCTTGTATTTCTTTTCTTGTATGTCTTCTTCTTTGTATTTTCTTTGTAAAGGTCTTTTACTCTTTTGTTAGGTTGACTCCCAGGTATTTGATTTTTTTTGTTTTAATTGAAAAGGAGATTTTATTATTATTATTATTTATGCTTCTTCTGACTGGTTGTTTGTGCATAGGAAAGCCTCTGACTTTTGTTGTTGATTTTATATCCTGCTACTTTGTTAAACTGGTTGATGGTTTTGATTTTTTCCTCTCTGGAGTTTTTAGGGTTTTCCATGTAAATTAACATATCATCTGCTAATAATTGTCCTTTAATTTTTAATAAATAAAATCTAGTTTTGGAGTTTAGGGTAATTTTGATCCCATAGAATGAATTAGGAAAAGTCTCTTAAAATTCAATTTTCAACTCTGGGAATTTATATCATTATTCTCTTTATTGTATGGACTATTTCACTAGTGAAAATGTATGGTATTTACTTTGCAGAAAGTAATTTTGCTGGATATAATGACCTTCTTTGACTTTTTTTTGTTTCATCACTTTGACTATGTTAGCCTATTGCTTACTTCATTGTTTCACTTGAAAAGACATCTCAGTTTTCTCTCATCTATACAGATACCTCTATTCCTGTGTACAATGAACTTATTTTTAAGTTAAATTTTGATTTTCTTACTCTGTAAGAATCACTGTTTTTCCTTCTTTGATTTCATAATGGTTTCAGAACATGAGTAAATTATATTTTCATCATTTTCAGTCATTTTTTCCTTTGTTCTTCATCTTTAATAACCTCTATAAATTTATTTTGAGTTTCTTGATATTTTCTTATGCTTATAAAAGTGTACTGCTGAGCCCTAAAAATATCTACTCTAATTGCTTTGAACTGTAACCAAATGAAAATAAACCCCTGTGCACTTGTAAGTTTTGACACCAGTTTTTGAAGCTTGTCTGAACCCAGGAGGACTCTTATCTTCCATTCCATGGTATGGTCTCCCTGGGAGTAGCCTGTGACTTAGTTGCTATGGTAATATAAACATAATTCCCTTTTAAGTGTTTCTTTTAGAAACACTTTCCATTACTTTCAAAATTGCTGTGAGACTTGGACTTCTGTACAATGTGTTACAAATAAAATTAGTTCACTTTGGAGAGGATTTTAGAAATACTTGTTTTGGAATTGTCCTCTCCCCTGGGTTAAATCATTTCACCACTGCCTTGGAATCAAGGGATGTAGGGACAGTAGAGTGCCTCTCCTCTTTTAGAGTGACTCTTTTCTTTCCATGCAATATATTGGGCCAGATTACTTTTCACAGTACCTCTCAGCTTACTTCTCCTAATGTGGGGAATCTCCATTTTAAACACATTGAAATGGGAATGATTGAGAATTCATTATTATCAAATATACCTTTCTCAGACAAAAAGAAAAAAGAAACTGTAAAGTGAAATTAACATAAATTTTCTATTTCCTTGGAGACATCAGTAAGATAGAATTATTTTAATTTTTGAAGAAACACAGACTATGATTAGTGATTACTTTCCTTAAAATGTTTCTGATAACATCACTGTGTACTTGGATCTATGGTTAATTAAGGTCTAGGGACATAATCCCATAAGAAAAATATCAAGACTTCTTCTACCCTGTGGTACAAACAACAATGGAAATCATTAAATGATTTTGTCCTCATCCAGAATCTACTAAAATTGCATGTATTTTTCTCAGTTTTGAATCAGTTGTTGAGCATAAATGTAATCAATCCACTTCCACTAAACTTGACATATTATAGGTTTCTTATAATATACATCAACAAATTTATTACCAATAAACTATGTGAATAAAATGGAATGGTGTCAGATTCCCAACATTTACCACTAACTGGGGGAAAATTAAAATGTTACTTTATATGATAATATAACATTCATTTCTATGTTGAGATTTAGATATTTAGTTATTCACCAACTTCAAGCTAAAGGTAATGTAAAAACCATTGAAAAACTAGTTTGGGTCATATGAAAAGTAAATCTGATTCTAACAATGGTTAAGTATTTGTCCTACTGTCATGTACAGGAGATAAAAAGAACATTCATTTTGTGTGTTTTGCAAAAATATTAAGTGATCAAGTTGTAAAGTGTGGATGGAATCATTCTGCTCTTTATCTCTCTTAGAGGAAGTTTTCTAGCAGCATATTTCTACTGCCACTCATGCAGAATGGATACTGCATAAGATAAATTGTACTGAGTTTGTCTACCATTTTCCAGAGGAAGTTTAAGGCTAGTTAATGCATCTTGAGTGTTATGGAAAGAAATAATATTTATATATTCCTGCATTAGTACTTTTCTCTTGACATTCACATAGGTGTTTCTACAGGCTTTCTTTCTTTTGTTGTTGTTGTTGGTTTTATTTTGTGGCCATTATTTTTTATTGCTCATCATACTCAATGTTCATCAGAGTCAAAACACACATACTAGAGTTCATGCAAGTTTATGAAGGTATGAGGGTAATCATGTCTTCAATTATAGGAAATATCAGAATTTGATTATTTGTAGCTGTTTTAGCTAATACCCACCAAATTAAATTTAATGTTTACTTACTATTATAATTAATAAAAATAACTGATATAACCACCTGGAAATGCACATGGAAAAATGCATGTGCATTTTTTATAGTGTGCTTAAATAGCAAATAAATAAATGTAATACACATGACAAAGGTGATATATAATAAAGTATATGTTTTTTAATTAAGACCATATCAACTAGATGAATAGTTGACTTATTTAATTACTACTTCAGGACCCACAGTTTTTCAACAATCTCTCACAATTAATAATACTGAATTCCAAATATTATAAATAACATTTGGGTCATGTAATTCCATTTTCTAATTTCACATTTAAAATGTACTAAATATTTTTCCTTAATCATGACATTTACTTTTAGATATTTTTTTCTATATTTGTTTATTTATGGACTACAATTCTAATATTCTGCATTAATCAATGGAAATCTTCATCCAAATAATCAAGTTTTACATCTATTGGTATTATAATGACTGTAATTTCAAGTGATATCCAATAATATATGTCCCAAAAGAGCCTCCTTTGTGGCACATGGCTTAAAGTCAGTGCCAACAAGCTAAGTAAGTATCCACTGCAGCATGAATTCTATCCCTGGCCAGGGGGCTGAGCCACATAGCTAGCAGACCTTTCCTCTCTCACCCACTGCTCCCATCAGCTGTATGTCTGTATGTTTCATTCAATCCACCTGTTCTGTTCCCTATTCTGTACCTCATAAATCCTCTCAACCACCAGCACTTCTGTCTAGGCCTAGTCTTATATTCATAAATAAAACTTAAATATATATATATATATATATATATATATCCTGAAATATATATCAATATACCTTTAAAAGGAATCATTACATGTCAATAGAAGATAAGTTAAAAAACAAACAAGCAAACAAAAACTTCAAACATTAGGGCTTCCAAGGTGGTGGTTTCCCAAAAAAACAGAAAATATAAAAATGAAAAATTAAGTAATCTATTTAATCATTAAATTATAATTAATATATTCTTTAAAATGTTATGCTATATGGAAAATCTCTTTTCAAGGCTTATTCAGTTTGTTACTTTTATTATTCTCAGCTCAAATATAGGAACTCATAATATGATATTTACAATAAAATGAAAAATTATGATTTTTTTTTACTGTTCAGCTAAGAAAAATTCTGACTACAAATTACAAAATAAGTTAATGCGATCTTAGATGAAAGCAAACTGATTTTTTTAGTTTAAATGTTCATTATTTCAAAAGACGGTATATTATCTTCAGAATCTTTCCATCCAAATGCTTGTGTTTGAATGTTCATAATTTTGGAATTGTTATTTTATGCTTTAGGTCATAATAGATAGTCCATAATTTTGATAGAAGAGACAAAGCTTTTGTGATTCAAGACACAATCAAGAGGTTATTGAATTAGTACAGTGGAAGATTGACAATAGAAGCAAGAATTAATGTTAGAAGATGAAAGAATGATTGAATAATATACACTGATTTACAAATATTAGTATAATAGAATAAATCTTTTCATTATTTTGTGAAGGTGAAAATCTCTAAAGTATGAAGAATGTCCCATGAGATATTCAAAGTATCTTGAGTGGTGACACAGTTCTATTGACTTTCCAACAGTCAATATGTAAGATAAAATAGATCAAAATTCATAAATAAAAAGAGGCTAAATATGTGTGGCAAATTGAGAGTATGAAAGTTAAAGGCAGATATTTTCTTTCTGCAAAGTAGTATATATTGGGGCAAATAACTGCAATGATATGTTCAAGTGTTCTAAATTGATTCCATGGAAGAATATCTCAAATTCCTATTTTACAAAATATTTGTTCTAGTGATCAAAGTACAAAGAACAGATATGAAGAAAGATATATAATTATTTTGTCAAAAGTACTACATATTTTGCCTCTAGATTTTCACCTTGAATAGAATGAATTAATGTTGAAAGGAAACATGAACCAGAAGAATGAAACATCAACTGACTTCATCCTTCTGGGACTATTACCCAGCTTCAAGAATCTCTACATCCTCATCCTCATTATCCTTCTCATCTACATAGTTGCCTTTTCTGGAAATTTCCTACTGATCTTTCTCATCTGGCTGGATGCCCGCCTCCATACACCCATGTACTTCTTGCTCAGTCAGCTCTCCCTCATAGACTTGGCTTACATCTCTAGCACAGTCCCCAAGATGGCCATAAACTACATCACTGGGAGGAAAAATATTTCCTTTTTTGCCTGTGCCACTCAGATATTTTGCTTCCTCACCCTAGGCCTTGCTGAGTGCATTCTTCTAACACTAATGGCCTATGACCGCTATGTGGCTGTCTGTAACCCCCTAAGATACACAGTGCTCATGAGCCCCAAGATTTGCCTGCAGATGACAGCTGCAACCTGGATTGTGGGAGCACTTACAGCCCTTGTTAACACCATTTACCCAATGCATTTCCCTATCTGTGGCTCCAGAGAAATTAATCATTACTTTTGTGAGGTGCCTGCCATCCTGAGACTGTCTTGTGTAGACACATCAGTTTATGAGATGGTGAAATTCGTGACAACTGTTGTATTTCTCCTGGTCCCATTTATTCTGATTCTGTCCTCCTACACCCTCATCTTCCTCACTGTTCTCAGGATGAACTCTCGCAAGGGCAGGAACAAAGCTCTGGCCACCTGCTCCTCTCACTTGACAGTGGTGAGTCTCTACTTTGGTCAGGCCATGTTCATCTACATGACACCCAGCTCTTCTCACACACCTGAGGAAGACCAGATTGTTGCTGTGTTTGGTACAACAGTGACCCCAATGCTCAATCCACTCATATACAGTCTGAGAAACAAAGAAGTATTGGGGGCACTGAGGAAGTGTGTGGGAAAGATGTGCAGCTGAGAAAATAACAATAACTAATCTGTCCCATCCTCAATTTCAGGTGTGAGTCTACCTAATATTTAAAATCTATTATAGTAAGACAAGAAATTCAGTATCAAAATTGAAAATCAGAAAGCAATTTTAAATTATTTTTTGTAAAGTATTCTTACTGGTAGTAGTGAGATGAAGTCTGCGTCATAAAGATACATTGTGTTCAAGATAATCTCTTCATTATTTTTACCCTTGATTGGGGACACTCTGGTTAACCTCAACTATTACTATTATATTAATACAAGTATGTGTCCTGAATTCTTAAATAATATGATAATAAGCATTTATGTTCAAGTAATGACCTTTCAGCTGAAACTATTTAACTTTATGAATGGATTATAGGTTAGGGGCACTTTCTCTTTGCACAGTTTGTTCAGTTATTTGGCAAGATGTAGTGGAAAGATAGGTACATCTAAAATTCAGCTATTCTTATTAAAATAATCTACTCTAGAGAAATATTTGTACATTAGCTCAAGAAGATAAATTTTTTTGTTTGTTTTGGCAGTGTTTTATATAGCTAAAAAATAATGTTAAGTGGAGACAATAATAAAAATATATTGTGGTTAATCACTGTAAATGTAAGAGCATGTTATAAATCACTTAAAAACAAAAATAGTTCATAAAAATTAATAAATATCAAACAATGATTAGACAGAAAAAAAAGTTACAAAAAGATAGAGTATAGAAATATAAATTTAAAATCACAGGGAATATTTATTCATGTATTTATCTACAGTGGACTGGAAGATTGGAAAGAAGTCTGAGGAAGACTATCATGAATCCTCAATTATATAAACAATGTTTTTATCTTTTAAAAAATATTTTACGGGCTCTCCCTGGTGGTGCAACAGGTTAAAGCACAGCACAAAGAAGCTTAAGCCACTTCAGCATGAGTTCGATCCCAGGCCCCTGTAGTGATCCTCATGGCAAGGCAGACCTCTCCTGACCCCTCGGCTGCTCCCCTCAGCAGTGTACTTCGCTGATCTGCCTGTTCTGCTCCCCCCTCTGTCTCTGGTGAATCCTCTCACCCTCCACATCTCTGGCCTGTACCCCAGTTCTGTACGAAAAAATAAATAAATCTTTAAAAAATATATTTTACAGCAGAATGTTTTGAATGGATAAAATTACTTTTCGGTTTCATTTTATCTTTGATTGCTTATAAAACAAGCTTGATAAATGTATCATTAAAATAAATTTTCTAGGCCCTCCCTGGTGGAGCAGTGGATTGAGAGGCAGCAATGCAAGCTAACAACCTCCACTTCAATGTGAGCTTAATCTCCAGCCCCATGGAGCTGCCGACCTCTCCTAACCTGCCCACTGCTCCCCTCAGCAGTATACTTCATCAACCTGCCTGTTCTGCTCCCTGCTCTGTCTCTGGTGAATCTTACCACCTCTGCCCTTCTGGCCTATACCCCAGTCCTGTATTCATAAATAAATGAATCTTAAAAAATTAAAAATAGATAAATAAAATTTCTAAGTGATACATTTTAAAATAAAATAAAGGCAGGGCCCTCCTTGGTGATGCAGGAGGTTAAAGCACAGCACTGCAAGTGAGCTGCAGCTGTTTCAGTGCAAGTTTGATACCACACCCCAGAGGTGTATCTCTATTTCTGACAAAAGACCACTCTGTCTCTGACGAATCCACTCACCAGCCCTGTGCCTCTGTCCTGTACCCCAGGTCTGCATGAATAAATAAATGTATCTTTAACAAAAATAAAAATAACTGCATCATGCATACCCATATGTGTATATGTATTTATCCTTTCATTTTAATTTTTGAGCATGTAACTTTATTATATAAATAATTATTTCATTTTATTACATCATTCTTCATTTTGAACAAATTTGATTTATTTTCTCAGTCTCTGTGTTTCTCACCACATCCATGACCTATTATTATCACTTGTGCTCTTTATACCATGTTTTCACTCCTTTCTCTATCCCTCCTTTTCTATTTGCCTCAGATCTATGGTCTACTTTGTCTTTTTTTTTTTTTCTGGTCTTTTGTCAGAAATAGAGCTACAATAGAGAAGGGGTGAAGAAACACTTCAAGACATATCTAACTCCATGAGAAAAGAAAATATAAGTATCAAAGAAATCCCAGAAGGAGAAGAGAGAGAAAAGGGAACTTGAAAAAATATTCAAGGAAAAAAAAAATTAAAATTCCTTACAACTTGAAGTGGAAAATGAAAACAGACATACAGAAAGTTAAAATTATACTAAACTACCTTAAGGAAAAGAAATCTACAGAAAGGCACACAAGTACAGCAACCAAGAATCCAAGACAAAGGAAAAAATATTGAAGCTGATAGGAGAAAGAAACAGATAACCCACAAAGGAGCACCAATTAAACTTATTTGAAGAGACACTGTGACAAAAGAAAGGACAGAATGACATATTCAAAATGCTCCAAGACATAATGCCAGCCAAGAATATACTACAAACTTTTCATTCCTTTATGAGGAAAAAATAAGAATCTTGTCAGACAAACAAGCCTTTGGAATTGTGTACAGCTAAACCCACACTCCAAGTAATATTACAAAAAGCCTTAAAATATAAACCATAGGCTCTCCCTGGTGGCACAGTTGGTTAAAGTACCATATTTTGAAGCTCTCCAAATCTACTACAGCATGAGTTCAATCCCCAGCCACATGGCAGACCTCTGCTGACCAGCCTGCTGCTCCCCTCAGCAGTGCACTTTGTCAATCTGCCTGTTATGCTCCCCACTCTGTCCCTGGTGAATCCTCTCACCACCCCCTGCACCTCTGGCATGTACCCCAGTTCTGTAAGCATAAATAAATAAATCTTTAAAAATAATAATATATATATATATATATATGCCACAAAAGTAGTGAACTTAAAGAATTGAGTGAGAAATTAAAAAGAGACACAATATGATGGACAGAAGGTTAGAAATAAATGTCCATGTATAAATAATCAATCTAAACATTAATGGACTTTTGCCATTTGTGACAACATGGATAGAACTGGAACTAAGCAAAGTGAGCCAGAAGCAGAAATATAAATGCTGAATGTTTTCACATATATGTTTACTTTAGAGAAACTAAGCAAATGGCAGAGAAAGTCAAACTGTAAGACTGGCTCTTGAAAAGAAATCATAAATCTGAGACACTCAGGAGAGGAGGGGAATGGAGAAGAGGAGAGTATAGAATGTGTGTACTTCTTCCTGGTGGTGCAACAGTTAAAGTGCAGCACCGTGAAGTTAGCCACAGCCTCTTCACTGCATGTTTGATTGCCAGGCAAGGAGGTGACCTTCATGGTGTGGTAAACCTCTCCTGACCCACCTACTGTTCCCCTCAGCTGTGTATTTCAGTACATCTGCCTGTTCTTATACCTGCTTTGACTCTGGTGAATTCTTTCAACACTCCTGCACCTCTGACCTGTACCCCAGTTCTGTATGCACAAATAAGTCTTTTAAGAAAATGTGTGTATAGGAGGTGAGAGGGCATTAGTGTTTCAATGGTAGACTATGGGCACTTTGGTGAGAAGAAAACTATGATGAGGACACCTAAGGGGAGAAAACCTATATTGTGGGGGGGGGGGGAAATAAACAAGGATGATTAAAAACACAAATAAAAAGGTAGTGGTATATATACAAGATGGAATAATACTCAGTTATAAAAACAACGAACCCTGCTATATGCAACAACTTAGATTGAGCTGGAGAAAATTATGTTAAGTGAAATAAGCAAAAAGAGAAATATAAATACTGGGTGATTTCAATTTCATTTGATAAATCCTATTTACTTTTTTCCCTTGACTTTCTAGTGTATAAGTGGATTTTTATCAGATAAACTGATACTGAAACCACATAAATTTGTAATAATATTGAAATTACTAGGGTTTTTTTTGCCACTAAAATGTTTGGGGAAAACTAAGAACTTTGATCTTAGTTCATGTTTGTTTTAATATAATTTTCTTTAAAAATCAATTGCTTTTCTTTAAAAAGCAATCCCTAATTGCTTCAAGTATTTTGCTATCATATTTTCAACATGGATTTTAAATTCTCTACTTCTAAATGGATGATCAAAACCCAATTGTGTTATTTTTGCAAACAAAAAGTACAGAATTTCTGGACACCTTTTATCTTTTATAGGTGGTTACTAACATCCCTGTACTTATTCTGTGTCTATAATTGACATCTAGGGACAGACTCTCATGAGACAATTCCTCAATGCTTCCTCTCTACTGTGGTACATAAAATCTATGGAAGGGCTTGATCTAGTTTAGAAGTGGATACTGAAGCATGCTGATATCAGACCTACAGCACATATGGAGGAGAAATGTAATTATTCAGTTTTCAGAGACCTTGAAATGTTATAAATCATGATATATTTGATGTGGGATTTCTCAAGGAAAGTATTGACTATGTAATATAAGAGACATGGGACATAACTGCATAACAATAGCTACTGGAAATGCAGTAGGCAACAATTACTAAGGGTGGAACTAATTAACTAAACATTTTCCTTCCATACAGGAAGTTCTCTGTCATCCAGACCCTATACCAGAGGTTTGAGGAAGAAAACTTTAAAAAGCAAGAGCAGGTAAGTTTGGATCACATAAGAAGGAATCTTATTTTGCAGAATGACAAATAGGAAAGTGTTTAATAGCCATGGAATAACTAGTAATAAAGAAATAAATTTCTAAGGGATGAGAACAACATATAAATGACTAAAGAAATAGAATACTGTGTTGATGGAGATTGACTCTACAGGAAATTTCCTGGAACATCCTGTTCTTCAGTGGGTGTAGTGAGAGCACACTGTTGTATTCTTCTCTAAGTTCCTCAGAATTACACATAGGGCCATCATAAATTAATCGAGGCAAATTTCTCTGGCCATTAGTAATATTTCCATAATTGTTAGCTACTATTTCAGAATTACCATACTTTGGGCTATGAAGACAACAGCTTCAAACCTGCATGACAAATGCAAGATCCTTCCTTTGACATTGGTTTTCATAAGAGTTTAGGGTATTCATGAGAAGAGTTTGAGTGGTGGGTAGGAGTAATGTTTCATACCAATCTATCAAATCAGCCTTCTATCTTTCATAAAAAAAAATAGTGTTTCTTTGACAGGAACACACTCAATTTCAGACCTTATTTAATGCAGAAAGTTTGGTGATTGACTGGAAATTTTATATTCTCAATTAAAATAAAAATAATGTCATTATTTTTAGGGAAGTTAAAAAATCTATGCTCAATATACTTCTTGTATGCTAAACTATAATATATGATGTAATATTTTACATGACATCATTATTACTTATAAAGACATTCTCCCACTATTTCACTCCCCAGAGAATTAATATTTGTGTTAAGGAAAGTGTCTATGTACAAAAAATGCAGGAAGACAGAAAAGATCATGAAAAAGGGCAACCTAGAAATGGGATCCACAATCCAAAGATCTTCAGGTTTTCTGGCAATTTAAAATAAAATTCTCCAGGGCCAAATAAGTGATTTAAGCTTATAATGATTCTTCCTTGAAAGTGCTCTGCTCTCTATCCACTGACTGACATTATATGTTTCCTTTTTATTTCAAGTAAAGGAAGATATCAGAACATAGATTTAATGTAACATAAATAAAAATGCACTATTTCTGGTTGATACTGTTTAAAAAGAGAAGAGACACTGCATGTGAATCATCAGGGAACACAAAATAAATCAAGTTATTAACCTAGGAATGAATATTTATGACTATTTGTCATCATGTAAGTATGAGTTCATGCATCTATTTGTCATTAGTGGATATGTACAACTACTATAAGATTAGAATCATAAAAGTCACTTGCCATAATTTAAAAGTATTCTGAAGGATATATTTTTTTTTCCTGGGGCAATGGAAAAATAACTAAAAGAGTAATCAACAAAGGGATCTGACTGTTATTGTCTATTGAACAAGGAAATAATTGAAGTGCACATATAAATTATAAAAATAGGAGGGAAGTATAAAAAAAGCTGAGTAATTATTATGGAGCTTAGCAAGAAAATAGAATGAGCAGCCTATTTCATTTGGCTAACAATTAAAAGCTTTGAATAGAATTGTGAAAATTTCTCAAGAAAAGTTCAGGAAATGTTCTCAGAATAGATATTTAACAATACATGACACAAGAATTACAATAATCTAAACAAGATAAAAATTCAAATATATGAGTGCATGATAAGCAACTATTAGCAAAAGAATGAAGTATGAATTTCTTCAAAGAAAACTAATTTTAGGATGTAATATTATTAATTTCTAGGTAAAGTTGTTTTGACTTGATGAAGTGTTTCAATGTCTCTCTTATAAATATACACAGTTTTATTGTCCTAGTCATAAAAATACAAATAAGAGTGCTGACCAAGATGTTAAATTACATAGTTTAACAACATTTTATTTCTGAAAATTTTCAATTGCAATAGATGATTTGAATAAAGCATGGAACTGAAGAATAAAACTTCAACTGATTTCATCCTACTAGGACTCCTTCCCTGGTTCAGACATACTCACCTCCTCATCTTCACCATCCTCCTTATTTACACTATTGCCTTTGCTGGGAATTCCATACTGATCCTCCTCATCTGGCTGGATGCCCGCCTCCACACACCCATGTACTTCTTGCTCAATCAGCTCTCCCTCATAGACCTAGCTTACATCTCCAGCACAGTTCCCAAGATGGTCATAAACTACTTTACTGGGAGGAAAAATATTTCCTTTTTTGCCTGTGCCACTCAGCTCTTTTTCTTCCTCACCCTTGGCCTCGCTGAGTGCTTTCTTCTAACACTCATGGCCTATGACCGCTATGTGGCTGTTTGTAACCCCCTGAGATACACAATCCTCATGAGCCCCAGGGTCTGCCTGCAGATGGCAGCTGCAGCTTGGGTTGGGGGAGCCCTTGCAGCTCTTGTCCACACCATTTATCCGATGCATTTCCCCATCTGTGGTTCCAGAAAGATAAATCATTACTTTTGTGAGATGCCTGCCATCCTGAGAATGTCTTGTGTGGACATATCTGCCTATGAGATGTTGAAGTTTGTGTCAACTATTGTGGTTCTCCTGGTCCCGTTTATACTCATTGTGACCTCTTATACTCTCATCTTCCTCACTGTCCTGAGGATGAACTCTCGCCAGGGCAGGAACAAAGCCCTGGCCACCTGCTCCTCCCACCTTACAGTAGTGAGTCTCTATTTTGGTCAGGCAATATTTATATACATGGCACCCACCTCTTCTCACACACCTGAGCAAGACCAGATTGCATCAGTGTTTGGAACAATTGTGACCCCCATGCTCAACCCACTCATCTATAGTCTAAGGAACAAAGAAGTGGTAGGAGCTCTGAGAAAGTGTATGGGGAAATTTTGCAATTGAGAAAATGTCTTGTTTCTATAATATCACTGTCATAAAGGTTTCATCTTCAATGTCATGGTCATTGGATTCTCATAATGGTAATATAAAATTTTAAGGAAGAAGAATATTCTAGAACTCATACATAAAGAAATTAATTTTGTTGGATGGAATTGGTGTTCATTATTCAGAAGAATACAGATTTAAGTTGTTTATTACTGGCCTATTTGGTAAATTACATCTATTTTGACAATAACATTTGCATAGAAACAAAAGATCTCCAATCTCTTGAGTACCATCAATGCAACATGACTGCCATCCTAGAACTAAGTCCTTTATTGATGCTTCTTATTTTAAAACCATCATATAGGTATTAGCTTTCATTGAGCCATTTATTTTCAATACCATATAGGAATCTCTACTTCAAAAATATTCAAAGACCATTAGTTACATAGACTTTTCCTCTTTAACCCTTACTTTCTCCAATCTCATATTATTATATTAACATATCATTTTTACATTTTATTATATATATTTGATATATTTATATATTTCCTTCTAAATTATCCTATAACTTTAGACAAGTATAGATAGAAATAACAAGGTGAGTTGAGGAAAAGTTTAATGGATTATAATGAAGCAGGTTTTTCTAGTAATTTTCAACATTTTTCATCTTCCATAGGTGAATTATATTTTTCAAGCTAATTAAATAACTCACCTTAATGGTTTTATATTCATATTCAGCAGTTTACAGTTTAAAATGAACACATCTACTGGATTGTCATGTTTATGTGGTCTTTTAAATATAACAACCATGATAAATGTGATATTATAAAATTTAAATTTATTTTATAGGAACTCTTCAAATTAATATTATATTCTTTTCATTTTTTATAATATAATAGTCTATTTTTATAACATTTTGTGCACATTTCCATCTAAGTTGCAAACCCATTGGGCTTCCCATCACCAAATCACCATGTGCCATTTCCCTCCCCCCACTGTTTCTGCTCCCATTCCACACTCCAATCGCACAAAATGGCTCTGGTATATAGCTGTTCATCATTATCATTATTTTCTCGCCTGTTCTGTTATATTCCTGCTATGAGAGAAACCATCTGGTATTTTTCCTTTTCTTTCTGACATATTTCACTAAGCATGATCTTTTCCAGCTCCATCCATGTTGTTGCAAAAGACATGTTTCTTTTATTTTGGTTGCTGAATAATATTCCATTGTCTATATGTACCACATCTTTCTAATCCAGTCATCTACTTTTGGGCATTTGGGATGCTTCCATGTTTTTCCAATTGTAAATAAAGCAGCAATAAACATGGGGGAGCAGGTATCTTTTTCAATCAGTGTTTATGTGTCTTTTGGGTAGATACCTAGGAGTGGGATTGCTGGGTCCTAGGGAAGCTCCATTTTTAGCAGTTTGAGGAACCTCCAGTTTTCCATAGTGGTTGTACTAGATTGCATTCCCACCAGCAGTGCAGAAGAGTTCCTTTTTCTCCACATCCTCACCAACATTTGTTGTTGCTAGTTGTTTGAAGATGTGCCATTCTCATTGGGGTGAGGTGGTATCTCATTGTGGTTTTAATTTGCATCTCCCTTATTACGAGTGATGTTGAACATTTTTTTCATATGCAAGTTGGCCATTTGCATTTCCTCTTTGGAGACGAGTCTTTTTAGCACTTATGCCCATTTTTTTTGATGGGGTTGTTTATTTTTGTTGAGTTTCATCAGTTCTCCATATTTGTTTTTTGTAATATTTCTTTTGCCAACTTTAATTCCAGGTATTTTATGGTTTCCATTCTTATGTCTAGGTCTTTAATCTATGTCAAGTTGATTTTTGTATATGGTGTGAGGTAGTGATCTAGTTTCTTTTATTTTTTTGCATGTAACTTCCCAGTTTTCCCAGCACCATTTGCTCAAAAACTTTCTATGTTCCACTGTATCTTCTTTGCTCCTTTGTCAAAGATTAGCTGTCCATAAACCTGTGGGTTTATATCTGTGTTTTCTATTTGAATCCACTGGTCTGTATGTCTGTTCTTGTTCCAGTACCATGCAATTTTGATTATTATAGCTTTGTAGTATAGTTTGAAGTTTGGGATTTTAACGCCTCCATTCTCTTTCTTCTTAGCCATGAGAGTTTTGGATATTCGAAGTCTTTTGTTGTTCCATATGAATCCCATCAGTATTTTTTCTATTTCTTTGAAGAATGTCATTGAGATTTTTATTGGGATAGCGTGAAAACTGAATATCGCTTTTGGTAGGATGGTCATTTTGATGATGTTAATTCTTCCGATCCATGAGTAGGAGATGTCTTACCATTTCATAGTGTCTTCTTGAATTTCTTTTAACGGTGTTTTGTAGTTTACTTTTTGTAGATATTTTACCTCTTTTGTTAGGTTGATTCCCAGGTATTTGATTCTTTTTGTTTTAATTGAAAAGGGGATTTTTTTTCTTCTGATTGGTTGTTTGTGTATTAAGAGGCCTCTGATTTTTGTGTATTGAAATATATTATATCCTGCTACCTTGCTAAACTGCTTGATGGCTTTGATTAGTTTCTCTGTGGAGTTTTCAGGGTTTTTCATGTAGATTAACATATCATCTGCAAATAAGGACAGCTTTACTTCTATTTCCCTATTTGGATTCCATGTATGTCTTTTTCCTGTGTTATTGCTCTGGCTAGATCTTCCAATGTTCTGTTAAAGAGCAGTGGAGATAGTGGACACACTTGTCTTGTTCCTGATCTCAAGGGAAAGTCTTTCAGTTTTTCTCCATTGAGGATAATATTGGCTGTGGGCTTATCGTAGATGGCTTTTATCATGTTGAGGTATGTTCCTTCTATTCCAAGGATTTTGAGGTCCTTAAATATAAATGGGTGTTGAACTTTGTCGAATGCCTTCTCTACATCTATTGATATGATTATGTGGTTTTATTCTTCTGTCAGTTGATGTGATGATTTATATTAACTGAATTTCTGATGTTGAACCATCCTTGTGCTCCTGGGATAAAGCCCACTTGGTCACGCTGTATTATTTTTTTTAATGCATTGTTGGATTCTTTTGGTAAAAATTTTTGCTGAGGATTTTTGCATCAATGTTCATTAGGGAGATTGATCTGAGGTTTTCTTTCTTCGTGTTTTCTTTGTTAGGTTTTGCTACTAGTGTGCTGTTGGATTCATAGAAAGTATATGTAGTTTTCCTAATTTTTTGAGTTTTTGGATGAGTCTGTGTAGGATAGGCACCAGTTCTTTTCTGAACATTTGGTAAAATTCATTTAAATATACATCTGGTCCTGGGCTTTTATTTTTGGGGAGGTTTTTGATTATTTCTTTAATTTACTTGCTTTTAATTGTCTTGTTTAGTTGTTCTATTTCTTCTGTATCTAGCTTGTAGAGTGGTGGTTGTAGACTTATAGGAATTTGTCCATTTCTGCAATAAATTGTCAAATTTGTTTGCATATAGTTGTTCATAATATTTGATTCTTCTTTTGATTTTTGCTGGATCTGTTGTGAATTCCTGTCTTTCATTTATGATTCTGTTTATTTGTGCCTGCTCTTGTTTTTACTTTGTGAGCCTGGCTAGTGGCTTTTCTATATTGTTTATTTTTTTTTTTCAAAGAACCAACTGTTTGTTTCATTGATTTTTTGGACTGTTTTTCTAACATCTATTTCATTTATTTCTGATTTAACTTTTATTATTTTCTGTCTTCTACTGGCTTTGGGGTTATTTTGTTTTTCTTTTTACAGTTCTTTAAGGTGTGACATTAGGTTATTTCTTGTTTCTTTATGTGAGCCTATATTGATATATATTTTCCTCCTATAACTGCTTTTAATGTGTCCCATAAGTATTGAAGACATGAGTCGCCATTGTCATTCCTCTCCAGGTATTTTTTAATTTCTTCTTTAATATCCTCATTGATCCAATGGTCTTCGAATACTGTGAGTCTCAGTCTCCACATGGTAGGTGGGTTTCTTGTCTTGCTCATATGGTTTATTTCTAGTTCATTCCTTCATGGTCAGAGAAAATAATTGTTAATATTTTGATCTTAGTGTATCTATTGATATTTATCTTGTGACACAGAATGTGGTCAATCCTAGATAATGATCAATGTGGGTTTGAGAAAAATGTGTACTCAGACTTTTTGGGGTTTAGTATTCTATAGATGTCTGTTAGGCTCATGTTGTCCAGGTCCTTGTTCAGAGCTTTAATGTCTTTGCTGATTTTTTGTCTTGTTGATCTGCCCATTGTGGAGAGTGGCATGTTGAAGTCTCCTACTATGTATGTGTTTTCTCTGATATACGTTTTCATAGATGGCAGTAGTTTCCTGGTATATTTTGGTGCCCCTTAATTTGGTGAATATATGTTGATGATTGTCATTTCTTCTTGTTGTATTGTCCCCTTAATCATAATGTAGTGGACTTCCGGGTATCTTTTAATCTATTTTAGTTTGAAGTCCATTTTATCTGTGATAAGTATAGCTGTTCCTACCTTCCTTTTTGTCCATTTGCTTATAGGATTGTTTTCCAGCCTTTTATTTTCAATATGTATTTTTCTTTTGCATTTAGATATATTTCCTGCAGACAGCAGATCATTGGGTTCTCTTTTTTTAATCCATCCTGCAATTTTGTGTCTTTTTATTGATGAGTTTGAGCTATTTGTATTTAGAGATAATATTGATACACTGGCACATACATTTGCCATTTTGGTAATTTTGTCTTTTTATTCCTTGTTTTGAACTGTTCTTGTTCATTCTTCTGTTGATTTGGTTTGAAGGATTCTTACAATATTTTTTGAAGTGGGAATTTAGTCATGACAAAATTTCGAATTTCTGTTTCTCTGAAAATGTCTATATTCTTTCTTCATAGAGGAAGGAGAACTTCGCAGGATAGAGTATTCTTGGTTCTCATTTAATGCTTTGGAGTTTGTTGAGTATGTCCCTCCACTCTTTTTTTGGGGGGGTTAAGATCCCCATATCCTATTTTATCAGGACTACTACAATCCAAACAAATAATTTT